CATGACAATCTTGCACCAAGAACAAAGGAATAAGAGAACCCTAATTACTGACATTCTGATGTAATACTACTTGACCCAGTAAAGGGGTGACCATTTTCAAATATTTCTCGGGGAAAAAAATATCTCATATTATGAGAATTATGGACTTAACATTGGAGGGAAAGAAAAAAAAAGCGTAACATCCCGAGTTCAGGGCTCAAATGTTGAGTTGTCACTTAAACTTTATGCAGGTGGCTTGATTTAACTAGCCCTCTTAGGAATGGGCAAACTTGTATCTAAGTAAGGGCAGGGCTTTTTGTAGTGAAGAGCTTTGTTTAGACATAGCACTTTGAGTGTTACATTGTCACAACATGTAATTTCACACGGCAGTTCATGTTCCACAATCTGAGCAGTTGAAAGTCATCTCTGTGTGTCATCCTAGAGAGTGAATGATTCATTGGCCACATCATGCAATCGTATCACAAAAACCTTGGGGATTAAACACCAACAATCTGCCTTACTGAAGCCTGCCAGATCTGATTACAGTATTTGTCACTGTTTTCTGGCCTGACTGCCACAGCCTTGGCAATATTCTCTGCTTTTAAAACAAAGAAAAAATAGGCCTGCAGCTGGGAGCATTGATTGAAATGGAAATCCACTAGGAAGTGAGACAGAAATTTGGTCTGTACCTGTCTGTTCTAGGCTAGATGATATCAAATTAGTTTTAATCCCCATAATGACCATTTCCTTGGCTGAACTCAGGGAAGATCCATGCAGGGACTGAGATCAGATGTAGGATCTATGTACTCTCTGTGGTAGGCTGGTATTCTGGAACCCTCGGTCTGGAAATGTCCCCCGGTAGAGTGTAACTTCATGCACAGTGCAGCAGCTTTTCAATGACCATGCACAGAGTGAGAGTACCTCTGTTTCTGCACTGACTTCTCCATAATTGCAGGTTTATGAGTCAGCACACGGATCACTCCCAGCTCAGCTGTGTCTGTTCCCACATTGTAGACATGACCTCAAGTATCTAGCAGTCCCTTTAAGCACTTCAGGCAGAAATCTAGATCTTTGAAACAGACTAGGTGTTTGGAGACATTCACAGCAGCAACTCAGCATCTCTATTACCTAGATACATCACAGAACCATCACAAAAGACATTCTGCCTGTCTTCTCTAAAAGTAGTTATTCTGACTGATTTTGTAAATGCTTTTACCACGAGAGATGCTGAAGTTTGGTTCTATTCTTGATGAGCAGCCAATATCTGAAGCAGATGCAGGACTCTAGGTTAGTGCTTTACACAGCGATCTTTGTTCTCTTCTTCACTCCTTTCAGTATTTGCTAATAGCAGAACAGCTTCAGAAAGAATCCTACCTTAGAATAACCTGTAAAGGTCTCATTTTAAAAGGGGAACGTTGGTTACATTTTCATCTGGATGCCGGTAGAGTTGAATATTTGACCTTTGAGTACTGAAGTTGCCTCCTGTCAGTCAGCTTTGTGAGAAAGGGCATATGGAGGCAGTGGGCTCAAGGCCATTGCTTTACTGTGAAGTAATATACCCTGGCCACATACGCTGCGTAAGGTTGCTGTAGTGACACTTTCTCCGAGGGGAAAACCGACTGTCTGTAGTTCCCCCAGAAACCACTCCTTGCTGAGACAGGGAAAGTGAGGGAAATGTAAACGAGAGAGAGAGAGATGCACACAGATGTCGTGTGATCTCTGCAGCATCCCTGCACTGTTGTAAGTTCAGCCGTACGTTTCTGAGTTTATTTGTAGTGCATAGATTTGGACTGTATGACTGGCACCTTCTCTTGGCATGTAACCTCTGCCTGCCCCTCCCTTCCACTGAACTGGTTGTGCAGATGTTCTGCTTTGGCACAGAAGCGATTGCATCTGGTAAGAAAGTCCAGGTCTCTGGGAAATGCTGTGCAGGAAAAGATCTTGCAGTAAATGAGAATTTCCCCCTTGTATTGACTCTGCTTTTCTGAGAGAAGTCAGCAAAGACAGGTATGGAAATCATTCCTCGTGGAGAGGAATAATTCTCAACTGTTTTGTTGGTGAATGATTTCACTCTTTGGAGGTATGAGCACGTGCTGCTTGGCAACGTGTATCTTTAAAGATCAGGATGTCTTGAAAAGGAATTAACTCCAGTCCTAGGATTTGTTAACTGACAAAAAAGAACAGCCATTTCTTCAATGTTACTTTAAAGTCACTGAAGGCAAGTATGGATTCACATTTCTGAAATGGTTTTGCATGTTGTTTTTGTTTGCTTGCTTGCTTGCAGGTAATGTTGGTTGGTTTTGTTTCTTTCTTTAAGAGCAATAAACTCATGATATTCATTCAAGGCTTAAAGTGGCCACAGCTACAGATGAACACACTGGCTACTTCACCCTGTCATCTCTGCAGCTCAATGGAGGAAGCAGGCTGACGTGGTTAAATCAAATCTGGCAGCTGTGCTGTATTGCAGACGGGCAGCAAGCAGCACACAGCATACAGAAAATGAGTAGCTTTCAGATAACAGCCCTCCTTTTGCTGCCACAAGGCTTGAAAGGCAGACTCAGACCTCTTTCTCCTTTCTGTAATCACAAGTCACCGGAACAGTGTGCAAATACTACAAACGCGGTGGCAAATGTAAATATTCATTGCCTGTGCAGTGCTTTCAGATTGCTAATTAGGATTTCTGCCTTGGTGTTCTGATGGAAAAAGCAGAGGGATGAAAGCTGAAACCATCCCACGAGTGAATGCTTCGCTGCAGTATTCTTTCAGCTGTCGGTGCAGGAGCTGCAGAGCGAAAGGGATGTATGAAAGCTTTCCAGAACAGGTTGCAGTTGTCTGCTCATTTTTGGGGATGTCTGCTCACTACTCTGTGAGGGGAGAAGCCAAGCAAATGCAGGAGGTGCTTCTAGATAGATGGCTTTCTGCTTCTGTTAGATAATATTAGACATGCAGCAAGAAAGAAACTTGAGTATTAACAAGCTGCTTGTGCAGGAGAGAGCTGTCATGGTATTTTTCCCTTGAACCTTTAAAAATTCATACGTGCAGAACTGGACTTCTTCTTAAGAATCTCAGCAGTACCTTATTACCAGAAATGCAAGCAAATAGTCATCATTCTCTCCCTCCTATTCTGTACACCTGGCCTTTCAGCTCAGGAAACAGGCAGCAGCAATATACAGATACCTGTTCTGGCTCTGCTGTGTTCCCGTGCTGGGATGATCTCTCGACCTCCACAGGCAAATCCTAAGCTTTCTCCTTACTGGAATCACTGCTTATGGGACTGAGCTGTCTGCTTTGTAGCCTTGTTTTGGCAGTGTGGGAAAGGCACAGCCTAGCTAACTGTCTTCTTTTAGAGTATGTACAAAAGTGGTATGAAATGAATTGCAGCCACCAGGTGGCCCACGCGGATTCCTTTCTTAGCTCACTTCTCTCAGACCTAGAAAATTGTCTGTGTCCCAGTATGTGCTTAAGTAGGCAGGAAATAATGTGCCACTGCTCCTTTATGTGCAAAGGAGCTTTTAATAACGCATCTCCTTCCTTTTTGCCTGTGTAGTTGGGTCGGAGCTTTAAGAAAGCAGCAATTTGAGCTTGTAGAATAAAAAAAACCTTGATTGAGTGGGCAGCATGCTGTGTTCTGCCCTGGTTCTGTCCACGCCTGTTGTCAGCCTTTCTGTCTCATTGCTGGCTGTTCACATAGCCTCCTCCTGCCCTCAGTCCTTCCCACTACTTTCCACTGTTTGCAACTAGAGAAACAGGTAGCTGTTTCTTCTCCCCTACAATTTCAAGTTCCTCACTGCAGGGATCTCAACATACCTCCTTCTTCCTCCTTGTTCTTGAAAGCAGAAAAGCAGGGTAAGTGAGGCATATTTCTAGCCCTGTCTATGCTGTAAGAACGGATGGCTCCAGGCAAGGTTTGGAGGAAGACTAAGCCAGAAAACTTCTAGCATCGTATGCTTTTTTAGAAGTTGTAGCACTACTTCATCTCCCCTGGGCTTTTGGACTGTTTGGCGTGGTTCTCCACATGCTCATTTCTTAGCACTACTGGTCACATGTTAACATTTCTGATTCTTGGATGATCAGTGTGTTCAAACAAAAAGGATTTGGATGCATTACTTTTGGTTCAGAACTTGTTATGGAATTTACATGAGCGGTTCCTTGACACAGGCTTTTGAAAGAAAGCTTACTTATGTAAATGACAGTTTATGAGAAAAAGCAATACTGAGACATCGTGGTTTAGTAGATAGTTTAATACAATTTACACAGCTGAGTATGATTGATAATATTGCAGATAATTCTTCTTTAAAAATGGGTTACTGTCAGTGCCAAAATCTACGTTATTATAATCCATCAACAGTGAGTGAACTGAAGCTAACCTTAAACTTCTCCAAGGGTAGATTTGTCTCAGTTCATCTGACCTACGGTTTTACTGTCTGCACAAAGTCTGCCAGCTTGTTTGCATCGGAAGATTCATCTAGAACTTAAACTGTGTAGATTTCAAAGCAGTCACCAAGTCCTGCACCAAGTAGTCTGCTATCAGAATGAAAGGTGAGCATCATAACCTGTATCTCAGTGACTGAGGAGGGGCAATTTTCCTCACTTTAACAAACAGATGCTGTAGTTGAAAAAATATCTTTCAAAGAATTGGTTGGACAGACTAGAGCTGCAGTCCTGTGGAAAGGACCTCTGGAAATCATCCAGTCCAAGCTGTTTGCTGGCAAAACAGTGAGAAAGATGAGATTAATGGATATAAGAACCCAAGATGGTGATGTGGGAGGCATAAGGAAGATTTAGAGCAATTTAGATTTAGATTTAGAATAGATTTAGAGCAATACAGTAAGAAATCATCTGACTTAAGACATCCATTAAAAAGGTGAAGGCAGACATTGGACTATCAGTTCTGACAAGGTCATATGGAAATAAAGTGAAAACTAATTAAGCTTTTATGTCGGCATTTTTTTCTCTATGATACGCTGGACCAATTTCAGATGTGCTACAAGACATCATGGATAGCTTTGGAAACCAGGGAAGCTCGAGTATCATTAACACCCCCTGCAACTCAAGCAGCAAGCTTACAGAAGTGGGATGATAGATGCTGAGGGAAAAGGATCAGCACATAAAGGGAGACAGGTACCTCGGCGTCTTAACTTCATTCTCAAGGGAGAAAATGAAGAAGCTTGTCTAACAACACTGCCTGATTGACACAGCGGAGGAGGCGAGAGCTCCCCGCTAGCAGCAGCTCGCGGGGGGAGCCGTGATGGTACGCGTTACGCTGCGCGGAGCAAAGGAGCCGTTTACAAGTGCAAGAGAAGCCCTTTCACCGATCCCCAGCGCCGCCGGTACGAGAAGGGCTGGGCCACGTCAGCATCCGCCGCTCACCGCAGCCCCACCCGACGAAGTCGCCGCCGCCGCCGGAAGCCTCAACCCCGGTCCGGCTCCGCCCTCCTCCAGCCGCGTGACCGGCGCCAGGCGCTGCGCTCGGCCGCCCGTTAGGGGAGGAGCCGGTGCCGTTCGTTTCCCGGCGGCGCGGCGAGGAAGGCAGGCTGCTGTTGCCGCCCCGCCGTGCCCGTTGCTTTCCTTTGGGGAGAAGGAGAGCTGGGCGAGAGAAGCGGTTGCTCCCTGCCCGCCTCTCAGCGGCGCCCGCCCGGGATGTCTTTGTCGGAGCGGGAGGGCGGCGGAGCTTTGGCGTGACGGCATGGCCGCGGAGCTCGGCTGCGGGGGAGAGCCGGGTGAGGGCTGGGCGGGCGGCCTCGGGGTTGCTCCCGGCCCTTGTGAGGGTGGGAGCGTTAACCGGAGCTTTAACCGAGTGCGTCTTCGACGGCAAAATGCCGTCAGAGAAAACCTTTCCTTCTAGCGCGTATAATAAGCGGGAGTTGATGCGTTGCCGTAGAATCGCGGAACGGCTTGGGTCGGAAGGGAGCTGAAAACCCGTCCAGCCCCTGCATCGTGCTGTAGGCAGGGCTGCCCGCAGCTCAGCTGCACCCAGGGACGGGGCAGCAAACACGGTTTCTCTGGGCAGCTGTGCCAGAGCCTCACTGCCCTCTGAGTGAACATGGAGTTACTTACTGTACAGCTATGTTACTCTCATAGATAGTTGCTTATATTATAATCACGTAACTCTAAATGGCGCTTGGAACAAATTTGCCTCTTTCTGCTTGACAGCCAGCTTCATTTAGTTCACGTTTCATGATCCTCTAACTTGTATTATATAATTATGTAATTGCATTTTTCAGATCAGAAGCTAGGCATTGCCTTGGAGCAGGATGAAGCAGATGAGATTTTGAGTAGTGCTGCTGAGGTATGTAAACTGAGGACTGAAAGTGGGTAAAAAAAAATATGATTTAAGATACGCATCTTCATATCTGTAGAACAGTCTGTTTCAGTCTGGTCTTGCCTGGCTTCGAGCCCATCGCTGAACTGTAGAGTTACAGTTTTTTCAAGCAGCAGCAGAATAAGACTTTTTAAAAAGTGAATTCTGCTTTTTTTTTTTTTTTTCTTTTTTTTTTTTTTTTTTTTTTGTAATGTCTTCAAAAATTGGTCCTATGTTGGAGAAAGCCTGATTCCTCCAAAGTTTTTTAACTTCTGTGGACTTTTTCCTTTGATCTCATGGGGAGATAACGTTCTGTGGTGAATAGCATAAACCTGTCTGAAGACTGTGCAAAAGCTGAGGCATCAGCACCAACGTGGGGCTCACGTGCACAGAAGTGAATGTGGCTCTTGCATAGGTTTAAAATGGTTGTTCTAAGAAAGATTTGATGCAGTTATGCCTTATAGCAAAGCATTTCCAGGAAAAAAAGCAATGAACATTTTTTCAAATCTGGCCAATGTTCAAGGACTGTAATATCAACCTGAAAATGATTGCTGGGGAGTCTGTATGTCCTTTTCAATATGGACTGAATAAACTGCTTTGTTTTGCACACTTTAGAATAAAAACAAACCACAATAACACTTGCAGTCATGTGCTAAAATACAAAATAATCAATTACAGAAAAGCGTCGCCGGAGGTGATGGCATATCCAGATCCAGGATGATGGACCAAAGGTAAAATGAGTGGGAATACTGCTTCAGAAGGACTTGAAAAGCAAATAAGTGCATGAGTAGAGCTGTGATTATTTATTTGAATTTTTACATCCTCGTATGGGTTACTGTACTGTTGTGCTGAAAGCAGTAAGAAAGCCTGGTTTCTAATCTTTCTGGATTTTGATCTATGTATGAAATGCAAATGTATTAAAGCTCATCTAGAAAGCATGCTCTGCTTCTGTTACACAGTTAATGATCAATAAAGATCATATAAAGGGAATAAAGAGGAGCAACAGTTTTGTTCCGTTCTCCAGATCATGAATTCTGTAAAGCTGGTTAATAATCAGAACAATGTTTCAGCATTTACAGATGGATTCTAAGCATGTTTTTCCATGTTTCAGCTTGATAACAAAAAGCATAGAGTATGAAAAGTGTTTGGAAGAAATGAGGGAGCAGCTGCAGATTTATCAGGTACGTTTCTGGCATCCTGTGACTCTTTTTGCAAAGTGAAGTCTTAATGTCATCGATGGTATTGTGCTGAATTGACACTGTCAGTGTTTTCAGTATTGTTTATTGAAAAAATAAAGTGCCACAGTTTGCCTCTTAGATGTTTTTTTATTAGGTGCAGATGAGTGAGATGAGACAGAAGTTTGAACAAGTCACCACGGAGAACAGGAGGTAAAGAAGAGCACTTTACCTACTGCTGCTATTTTCTTGTGTGGTTTGGTGTTTTTTTCTGTCCTTTAAGCCTGGAACTCTTCTTCCTAAGACTTGGAAATATTTGAATCTGCTTAATAGTTGAAGATTTCATACTCACGTGCTTAATGTTACTCTAAGTCTAATATAGATTACAGCACCAAATTTAGGAGGCTTAGCCATATCTCTGCAAAAGAACTCGGTATTAATTTATACCCTTTTTATAGAACATATCTTGCTCAATGGTTTTAAAAGTGAGCTAGGTGTATATGGTACATACAGATCAAAGGTACAGTACTTCAGTTCATTTAGAGACAGTGTATTAGATAAATACTGCACTGAACTTGGTCTTTTGAATTTTAGGCTGCATGCAGAGTTGAAAGAGGCTCTTGAGATGCAGCTGGATGCTCTTCCTTTTATGCCCATGGGAACTGCGATTCCTGCAGATGAAGAAATAGTGAGAAACCTTCAGGAACAGCTCCAACTGACTAATCAGGTGTGTGAGCTGAATCACTTGTACTCTTCTGTTTCTTCTGTGCCTTGGCAGATTAGGGAAGGATAGTTTGTTTCTTGGTTCAGTATTTGTTTATAACAGTTCCTTGACAGTATTTTGAGGCCTTCCTGATTGCACATAGCTTAAAAAACAAACAAACAACCTCAAATGCACCCATACTTACATTTTCAACTTCAAAACCTGAAGGAAGTTGCTCTCTAGTTCCATACAAGCAGAAATTTTTTGTGTTCATTTGTGCCTCTAACTTTACTTTGTTGAATTTCTGTCCAGAAGATGAATCAAATATTTTGTTGGATTGAAGTTATTGTGGTAGGCTGACTTTTTTTTTTTTTTTTTAAATTAAAGTGTAATGTGAAATGAGGGGCAACTGTATGTGGAATACAGAAAGTAACAGATCTGAATAGATCAGCAAAATGGCCTGAACATATTACAGAGTTGATTCAGTTCTTTCGCAGTGGACTAAGCTGAGGTTAAATTGACTCCTGATTTTTGGTATTTGAGTATTATATATACTGTAGTCCTAAAGTAAAGAATTGCAAGACTTTGACAGTTTCAGAATGTGAGTGTAGTTTTACTTTTGGTAGGAGCTATTAAAATAGTGCAGAACTTGCAGCTCCAGTCTAGATGGAATGTGATCTTGTAAACATCTGGATTTTTTTTGCCTCAGAGTTTGTTTTTCCTGTGTGGTTGTAATGTGTGCAGAGAACAATAATAATTAAAAAAAAAGCATTTCAATAGAAATGTACTGTAAATATTTTAGAGACCTTTATTCTTTCTAGGAAAAAGAACAAGCAATAGAGCTCTGGCAGACTGTATCACAGGAGCTTGATCAACTCCAGCAGCAGCACCAGGAACACATGACTCAAACACAGATTCACATGGCTGAAAGACTGAAACAGCAAGTAACTTTCATGGACGTTTTTGTTAGTTTTGGAATGCCTTCATACACTGCAGAGATTTTGCATCTGTGTGTAGCCAAACAGAAGTACAGTTTGTACCAGTATCATAGAGTCATCATAAAGCCATAGGATGGATTGGGTTGGAATGGACCTCAAGGATCATTACGTTCCATCCCTCTGCCACAGGCAGGGTTGCCAACCAGTAGATCAAGTACTAGGCCGGGCTGCCTAGGGCTCATCCAACGGGGCCTTGAACTGCTCCAGGGACAGGGCGTCCACAGCCTCTCGGGGCAGCCTGTTCCAGCACCTCACCACTCTCTCAGTGAAAAACTTCCCCCCGACATTCTCATCTAAATCTTCCCTCCTTGAGTTTAAATCCATTCCCCCTTTTCCTATCACTTATTTACCCACGTAAAAAGTTGATTTCCCTCATGTTTATAAGCTCACTTTAGATACTGGAAGGGCCATAATGATGTCTCCCCGCAGCCTTCTCTGCTCCAGTCTGCACAAGCCCAGCTCCTGCAGCCCATCTTCACAGGAGAGGTTCTCCAGCCCTCTGATCATCTTCGTGGCTCTCCCCTGGTCCCGTTGTTGATTGTTTTCTGCAATAGTTGTTATCAAAAGTGGAGTGATCAGATGTAGCCAGCGATTCAACAGTCAAAAGGACAGTTGGGGTTGGAAAGTTGGTTTCAGATATGTGGGCAGTAACTTAGGGAGTGCACCGTGTGCGTTTTGGTGCATGTAGAGAAGTACACGAGATAGACAAATATAAATAATCATCCTGCTGTTGTTCAATTCAAATATAAGTAGTTTCACTTACCTGTTGTCATTCAATAGAGAAGCTGAATAAACAGCTGAAAAATGGAGGTTGCTAATCTCCAATGTTAGTGTTTAGCATTGCGTCTCTTCAGCTGCTCCTTGGGAAGCCTTTGAGCTATTTGTTAGTGTCTTAGCTTGCTAAGTTAACTGGTTACACTTCAGGAAATTTTCTTTCAGAGGGATAAATTAGGCTGTAAGAAGCTGTTTTGCTCTGAGCTGTAAAGAGTGCTCAGCATTCAAAGAGCTCATAAACTTCACGTGTACGTGTAGCTCACCACAGCTATATTCAATGTATAAAATCTATAAAATCCGCACCGCGTTTTCAAGTGCGTTACACTTG